AGAGGAGAGGAGAGGAGAGTGGAGAGGAGAGGAGAGGAGAGGAGAGGAGAGGAGAGGAGAGGAGAGGAGAGGAGAGGAGAGGAGAGGAGAGGAGAGGAGAGGAGAGGGAGTGGAGAGGAGAGGAGAGGAGAGGAGAGGAGAGGGGCGGAAGAAGGAGAGGAGGAGGGCTGTTTATCTGACCTTCTCTGCTAGGGCGTCTCTTTCCTTCTCCAAGGAGTCAATGAGCTTCTGCAGGGAAGCGACCTGGTTGTCCTGCCATGTGTCAGACACGAGGAGAGGACGTGAGGAGGAAGAGGTCGAGGTCGAGGGAGAAGACACATGGAGGGGGAACAAGGAGGAGGGAAGTTGCGGAGGAGAGAGGAGTACAGAGGAGGAGGAGGAGGGCGATGGAGAGGGAATAGGGGAGGAGGAAAGAAGGAATACCTGACGGCGCAATGCTGCGAAGCCATTTTCTGTTGCCATGCTCAAGAAACCTCCATCCTGCACCTTGCGATCCCACAGGTCGGTGTGGAGCGACGCATCCCTACTCGAACTCTCTGACAGCGATGCCGACAGTCCTCCGCCTCCTCCTCCGCTGTCCGTGAGACCCGAGAAGCCGCCCATGCTGGAGGAGATCTGTAGGAGAAGATGAGGAGGAGGAGGCGGAGAGGACGGGAGAAGAGCAAGCAAGCGCAGGGGCTATCGGCTCGGAGGTAAGGAGGCACAGGTGGAGGAGGAAGGAGAAGGGGAGGCAAGTCTGCCATGTCACCTTCTCTAGCTCGATCTCGAGCATGCGAATCTTGTCGTTGAGGGCGGCGATCTCAGTCTAGGAGACCAACGAGTGAGACGGGGGGAGAGGGGAAGGAGGAGGGAGGGAGAGAGGGAGGGAGAGAGGGTGGGAGTAGCAGGAGGAAGGAGGAAGGAGGAAGGAGGAAGGAGAAGGAGGAGAAGGAGGAGAAGGAGGAGGAGGAGGAGGAGGAGGAGGAGGAGGAGGAGGAGGAGGAGGAGGAGGAGGAGGAGACCTTGCTTGGCGCTATTCTTTGCATTGTAGATGAGAAGGATCTTGTCGCCCTTCAACATGGCAGGAGGTCCAGGCTCCACCAAGTCACTGTCCCAGCTAGAATAGCAATCAATTCCTGTTCCTGCTGCTCCTGTCACTGCTGCTGCTGCTGCTGCTGCTGCTCTCGCCGCTCTCCGTCTAACTCTTCCTCCTCTCGCTGCTGCTGCTGCTGCTGCTGCTGCTGCTCTCGCCGCTCTCCGTCTAACTCTTCCTCCTCTCGCTGCTGCTGCTGCTGCTGCTGCTGCTGCTCATTCTATTCCTGTTTCTCACTCCTGTTCTTGCCCGATCTAGCTGCCCTTGTTGAGCTCCGATCGCTCGAAGGTTTTGTCGTGCCCTCGCTTCTTGCCCCTGTTCACCCCCCTCTCTCCTGCTGTCTCCTCCTCCCCGTCTTGCTCTCCTGCTCTCTCCTCCTGCCTCTCTTGCTCTCCTGCTCTCCTTCAGACCTGCCGGGGCGAGGGGCAAGCACTCCTCCTGTCCATCGGCCCGACATGGTGTTGCTCGTGTCGACAGGAATCCAATTCTTTCATGGAACCAGAAGAGAAGGAGAAAGAGAACGAGGATGAAGGAGGAGGAGGAGGAGGAGGAGGAGGAGGAGGAGGAGGAGGAGGAGGAGGAGGAGGAGGAGGAGGAGGAGGAGGAGGAGGAGGAGGAGGAGGAGGAGGAGGAGGAGAGGAGGAGGAGAGAGAGGGAGAGGAGAGGAGGCGAGAGGTTGAGTGCGTGTCGGTGAATACAGGAGAGTGACGGGTGAGGAACTGCGGGAGAAGGCAAGAGGATCAAAGTAGCAATGAAGAAGCTTGCAGGCAGTGAGAGGCATTGGAAGCAGAAGAGGT